TCTCAGCCCCTCTTCGAGACCCATTGCCCAAGTGTGCACACCTAAGCATCAAGCACAACGCGGATGCTATCGAAAGCCGAGACATCAGAACAAGCATCATCGAGCGGCTGCAGCGTCCAGCCGCCGGTGCAGTTCTGGGTCTTGTACACGTGCACTTCATCCACCGTTAGCCACATCCCACATCCCACATGGCAGAACCGCCACGTCCTCGAGCAGACCCCACCCCATGTCTCTCGCTCCCCTCCCCTCGCTCTTCCCCAATATCGAGATATACTTACGGCTATTGTACTTTAGCCGTGCGTCCCCATGCGCCACGACGCGCAGATACTGCCCCGGAAGGATCCAGCACTCGGTGTTCGTGAGGGAAAGACGATTGGGGTCTGGTGCCGTGCATTCTGCGCCGTTGAAGAGCTGCACGCCGACGAGCTCGGCGCCGGGCGTGATGGAGGAGTGGGTTGTGGGGACCGCGGCGACGAGACCGAGGACGAGGGGGGCGAGGAGGGGGGCGAGGGTGTTTGTTTTCATCATGGCGGGGATTGGGGGAGGTGGTATGTAGGTTTGTAGGTTTGAGGGTGGTAGGTAAGAAGTTGTGAGGGTTGATAGATTGCAGGTGAGTATTGAGATGAGTTGATGATGACTGTGGAGAAGGATTGTGGGCCAGAACGGGTGGCGAGCACGCCGTTTCTAGAGCTGGAGGAGAGCGCATCGCGACCAGTGCCGATGTGGTACTTGCCGAGGGAGAAATGGAAGGCGCAAACACCCGCATTCAAAGCGATCTGCGGGTCAGCTCGGACGAGACGTTGATCTCGAACTGGACTTTCTGCAAGCTACAACTGCCAACTGAAATTCCAGGGCAACCAAAAAAGCAGTGAAGCAATCTTGAACAGCGGGGAAAACAATTAACTTAGCCTACTATAACCTATTATATGTGTCCAAGTAAGGCTTGCTGGAGGTAATATGTAATTGGGTTGATCGTTTTATTGCATTAAATTGTTCGGTCTATGATGGTCTTTAGTTCGAAGTATAGCCATTCTAGCCTATTACGACCCGACCAGCGGTCTACGCATACTCGATCAAGTATCCTACTAATCTCGTTCACGCTCCGGTACGGGCTTTGCACCTAGATATTGATGTTAGTTCACTTCTTACAATACAACACGAAAGTGACGTACCAAGAACCCAACCGAGCCCACTCGCTAGACCGCCAGTAACTGCACTGGCAACCATATCCCTCCTCCTCACCCTATCCTCGCCGCCGCTTGCACTACCGGCATCGCTTAAATCCATCGATACACGGCTGGAAGCAGATGCAGCATCTCTCGATGCCGGCGTACTCGAGTTACTCCTTAGCGGGAATGCGCTCTTGGAAAAGGCAGCCGCAGCACCTCGTGCTACATCAAAAAGACCCATTGGAGCCTCTTCCACTGCGCCTCTGCCAACTTCCCTTCTTGGCTGTATCGCCACTGTCTCGTTAGCGAACGATCCGGGAATTTTGCGATCGGCTAGGTCATTGAATCGTGTCTCCGCTTCCGTTTCCTCGGCAAGCAACGCAATCATCTCAGCTTCGCACTGCTGCCAAACAGCTAAGACTTCCTCGAGATGAGAGGGTGGAGCTAGAAGAAGGGCTTGTGAGAGTAGTTCCATCCGCTGTTCTAATCTTCGAAGGTCGGGGCGTGCGGCCGATCCGGACCATGATGCTGATGGGGAAGAGCGATGGCGTCCAGCAAGGAGTGCCGCACGCCAAGACACGTCATCTGCTTCGTCGGCTGGTCTAGTAGGAAGAATGGAGCCGAATGAGAACCGTCGTGATAAGCTAGGCACGGCGGGAGAGACAGCTGGAGATAAGGTGGGCGCAGACAGTCGGTTGACCACATAGGAGTAAGCTGTCTCAAAGTCGTCTTCTTCCAGTGCGGCCTCAATAGCCATTCCAGTTACCCGACGTTCGGTGGCGATTTTCTTCTTCTCCACGTCTGATGAATCCAGTTGCACCGAGTCGGCTTCCTCGTCCATGAGCGTTGATGGCATTGCAAGGACAAGATTCTTCCCGATTGATATGAGATCGTCCAGATGGGTGTAGCTGCGACTATTTTGGGAGAGTAGCTTTTGCAATAGTGATAGTGGATCAGCGCTAACCCTAATATTGACAGGTTGAAAAGGAACACCGTGCTGCAGAATCAATGCATAGAAGGACATGGCGTGGGTGGCGGCGAGAAGGGCTCGAGTGCGCTGGAACCGCGTTGAATACGGGAAGTATGGGCCGAAGGTTGCAACGATATCAGAGGCCTTCTTCATTCCTCCTCTTGTGCGGTTGCCATTGCTCGCATTGTCGTAGTCATGCATGGCTGACTCTAAGACCACTTTCTGGACGTCAGGCATAGATAATGGAGGTTGGCCGGATGGCGTTGTAATGTAGATCTGAATTGCAAGTGCATATTGGTTGCTTTCGAGAAGAGCCTTCAAGATCTCAGTCTCGATCGTCTTGTTCTCGAGTCTGCCTAGAATACCTCGTCCGTGGCGATCACCGTCTTGACTGATGGCTTCCCAACCCCAGAGCCAGAGCAGTTTTGACCTAATTGCCTTCCAGTGCTCGCCGTCCATCTTTGAACCGCTGCTGAGGATATGGAGGATCTTCTGAAGCAGGGATGCTTGTTCGGCATACTCGTCGCGTAGATAGAGCCTTGCCACGTCTCTTACCGAGATAGGATACTGCAAGCTAGAAAGTAGACTTGCGGAGAAAAGAAATAGTTCGAGAAGGCGCAGGGCCTTCTGTTCGGGCTGGGTGAGGGTATTATCCGGTCGAAGGATGTGTTCCTGCTGAAGAATGGTAGTCGTATGTTCCTGCAGAATTGGAGAGCTGAGATCATATGAAGGCAGCAGTTCGACACCGGCACTCAGATCTCGCGGTGGGTTAAGACTCAGGAGGTTGGCCAGTCGGACAAGTAAAGAATGTGCAGCTTGCATGGTCTCCGGGCTGCTATTATCGACGAGGTATAGGCTCGCCAGAGCTGTCTGTGCATACCTGAGTTCAAGACGGCGCTGATGGTCGTCATCGATGTAGACGTGACCTTCATTATATGCTCCCAAATCGAGGTCGTCAGGTCCGTCCCATTCACTGATAGCGGAAGCGACCAGGGGAAAGTCATCTTTGGACGTGTGTGCCAGCCACTCAAACAGACACTCCCAATCGTCCGGCTCTGGCGACTCTAGCGTCTGCTGCTGGTCGATAGAAGCGTTCCGGTCTCCAAATGAGATTTTCCGGCGCTTGCGCTCACTTTCTCCGCACATCCAGGGCCCTACCACACCCCTCAAGTCTCGCGCGGCATTGTGGCCAGCAAGCCTGTCGCCATGTGTCTGCCGCAGGTATGATAGCTGGCATTCTACAGCCCGTCTTCCCCGCAATTGCGCGAATGTGTCGAGCGACGGTGTGGATTTCTGTGGGTAGTACTCGTAGCCAAGGCGGAGGAGGGGTAGCACCGTCGAGATGAACCACGTTCGTAGGTGCTCTGAATGGTGTAGAAACGGGACGACGAGTGGGGGGACGAGATCGAGGAGGCCTGTGTTGGTGTCGATGCGATGGGCGCGGTGGATCAAGAACAAGGTAAGCGGGTCGAGCTCCGAATCGGCCTTGTAGAGCCCATGTGCAAGTGGCAGGAGATCTACTTTCCGCCTCTTCTTGCGAGCCTGTGAGGTGGAGAGGTCCTGCACAGAGGAGAGGTCTAGGGCGTGAGTGGCGTGGTCTTCCGGGCTTCGAGAATCGGATGCGAGCTCGTCGAGGTATTGGAAGAGCTGAAAAGGGTCTGCGATGTCTGGTAGATACGTCAAGAGTATTCGCAGCGTCAATTCAAGCTCAAAATCGCTCTCCCTAAGCGCCGTTAGTACCCGCAGTGCGGCCAGGTTCGACTCGGTCGCATAGTGCACGGCCAAGAGAACGCAATGGGGCGCCGAGAGCTTCTGGAGGGTCTGGAGCTTTTCCATCGCGTTCCAGATAGGCACAGGGTTCTAGAGAGCCCAGAGAGCGCGTCGGGGCATCGTGGTCGCGAATGTCGATGAGGACACACAACTCCCATCCGTCGTGAATTCCAGCTCCACGCTAGTTACATAAGCCGACCCTACGTCACTTCTTGAGCTCAGAATGTCCACCACCATTCCACCTCAAATTCTCCATTACCATTTACACTTGCACGAGATCCTTTCGCACTGTTTCTCTTGTTACAAAAATATTGGTCCTTGAAGCATTCATGGGCCATCCCCAAATGGAAAGTACCCGAGAAACCGCCGTGCGAAGAGAGGGAGATCAAGCGCGAAGAACTGAGTAACGAGCGACAAGATATTATATTAGACAAGCAAAAGAAATACTAAATCATCTCCTGGCCTGGGAGTCCCACAGTGCTGTCCGCGATGACACAATCGACTTGGATCTTCGCCAGTCGCTGCAGTTCTTGACCTATTGATTCATGCTTTCAGTACCACTTCGTTTGAGAAGCCACTGTTACTGTGTAGTGTGGAAACGTAACTAGTCGTGGCATTCAAGCTCAGTTTTGTTGAAGAGATGTGGCTGGCCAGATGATGCTCAGTGTGTCTACATTGCGGCTGGACGTTGACAGTAGGTTGAATTAAATTAGAGTGAGTGATGTGATTGATGGTAGTAGCTTGATATTTGACGGCCGTGTCGCTTGATTCACTCTAGCAATACATACCTCGATTGCCACATAGCATGCCTACATTGCATATTTCCAGAATGTGATTCAAGTCTTAGTATATAGACCATAGGATCCATGAGTATGGACTGGACGCACGTTCATACACTGGATCTGGGCAGTTCGATCGTCATAAGCCACGTGCCACCCAATTTCGATGTGACCTCACCTATCAAATATGTCCAGACGTAGCTGAAATTGCATCAAAGAGTTTGTGAATCATGTGGCTTCCTGGCAATTATAAAATCTTGCTTTGGGCCCAACTTTATTTTATTCTCATTCTAAAATAACAAAAAGAGAGATCTCTCTCTTTGAGAATCGAACTCGCGTCTACGGCGCGACAAGCCGACATACTTACCACTATGCCAAGAGACACTTGAGGGTATCTGCTTTTTTTGAATATTACTACCTTACACTAACTAGTATATATACATGTGTGAGTAATTATGCACGTAGTATTATTTGCATCCGCAGCTTTTCACCTACTGTTTGTAAACATCACGCCTGATGTTAATTTAGCAAGCGTGTGTTTAGGCGCCATTGCCCTGACGTAGCTGGGGTGGCTCTTGAACGAGTGCTGCGGGTTTGAGGAGAAATTGAATCGAGAAGTGAGGTGCAGCATTTCATGCCCAGACTCAAACATATGAGCTATGTCTTCGGATACGACGTTCTAGGCTCTATATCAATCTTCTACCGCTTGGTGTATCGCACTTTGAAGACTCCGACTGTAAGCCGGCTGTAAAAAATTTCTTCAATTCCCTTTTCATATTATTTCACTAAGTTTTCGTTTACTTCCTCCTCATCTTGAAGTCTTTCCATGTCCTACAATCAGTATCTGAACCGAAAATCTAGCCTCTTATTCCCGTCCTTCTCTCTTGCTACATTGTCATTCTGATACTCTAGCCTCTCATCAACAGACATGGTCTTCCAAACTCTCTCCTTCCTCCTATTCAACACCCTCAGCCACTCCCTCTGAACAAGAAATACCACCACCGAGAGCGCGCAGACGGAAATCAGGACCTTGTTGCCTTGCTTATAGTACGGCGAATCATATGAGCGGTAGATTTGTGAGCTGATGAGTGACCCGATCTGCACAATCACATTGTAGGTTGCGGCTGTGATGGCACGCTTCTTGACGTCGAACGTGTTTTCGGATATCCAAGCTGAGACGATGGGGTGGAAGTACGGATCTAGATACTCAAAATCAGTGATCATCATCTACAAGTTGAGATGTTATAATTGGGAGTCGAGTACTTACACCCTGAAATCAATGTAATAAGTGAAAATCTCGACCACTCCCTCCCTCCATCCGGAATCGTCAGCAGCGCCGCCAGCAACGGCAGACTCCAAAACGCGCCAAACACGCAATGAAATGTCCTTTCGTTGAAGAATTCGCTGCTATACGCCAGCGCCAACATTGTAAGAATCTGCAGTGCTGCCGAAGGAATGGTGAGCATGTTTGAATCGAACCTCGAAAAGCCCAACCGCTTCAATGAAAGCGTTAGGTACCCTTGAACGGGACTGGCGGGGATGTAAGCTACCAGACCGATGAAGTACAGTCCCCACATCGAGGAGTCGCTCCATGCGGCTTTTATGTCTGCGAATGTAGCCGGCTCTTTTAGCGCTGTGAGGCCTTTGGCTGGGTCGTCGCGTAGGATGCGGTTCGTCATTATTACCTCTTCCCGCTCTGTGTACCAAGGGTTGCGGAAGATGAAGCCTTTGGTGTTGGTTGGGGAGTGGGGGAGGTAGAGGAAGCTCTTAATCAACATTAGTATCAACAGTAGATCTTCTCCTCTCAGAGCCGCAGAAAGGGGGAAGTGTATGTACGCACAATGACTCCAATAACGAACGTCAATAAGCCCTCGAGGAGAAATAGCCAGAACCACCCTGAGTGCCCCCGAATCCCCCTCATCTCGAGGATTCCGGCTGCGAGTAATGCTGAGATGACCCGTGCTACGTTGAGCGTAGACCAGAAACATGCTAGACGCACGGATAGTTCCTTCGATTTGTAGAAGTAAGTTGCGAAGAGGATTACGCCAGGGATGAATCCGCCTTCGCAGGCACCGATTAGAGCACGTGTGATGTAAAAGGAAGTGCGGTTGTGCATCCAGGCCTGAGCCCACGCTGGAATTGGTTAGTATAACTTTGACAGCTAGATATGAGGACCAGACTGGTGAGGAGAACTTACACACTGTACTCCAGAGTACCATCATGGTAGGCAATACGTATTTGAATCCATACCTCTTGGTGAGGAACTGGACAGGGAATTCAGCGGCTAGGAAGGCGAGGAGCTGGATCGTGGTTCCGTTATTGTAATCGTCAGTTGTGAGGCCTAGATCCGCGAGTAGATTGTCGGCTGTTGCATTTGATAGATTGCTGCGGTCGAGCTGCAGACCGAAGAACTAGAACATGTCCACAATTAGAGTCGATCACGAGGGAGAGGAGATAGAGTCCATAGCCATACCATGACGCAAAGCCAACTTAGCAGCAACAAATCCGTCTTCCGAACCACTCTCTTCTCTTCTTCTACTGTCCACGTCGCACCGGGATCATATCGATGTCTCCCCTCATACGACTCGTGAGGCGGCAGTGCATCTGAGAGATTCTCGCGTCCGATCCTCGTGCCTATCAACTGCGAAGAAGCCGGGCCGTCGTTGTCACTCGAGACCTTCGTTTGCGCCGCGACTGCGATTTCCTTGCTCATTTTGTCTCTGCTTGTTGTCCAAATGATTGCGTCTGCAGACACAAGAAAACCACCGGACTTCAGAGCTTTATCCAGAAGAATTTCAGAACAAAGTTACACGCGGACACGGAAGTTTGCACCCTACGTACATACATATATCCTGGTCTGTCATCTCTAATTCTCAAAGGTACCATCTATACTATCCCCAAACCGACATCCAAAGCCCTAGGGTTCACCTATCACATCTCCTTCAAATGTCCGGTTTCACCGAAAGCGCAGAATTGCAGCAGCGACTACGACGTTTATCAATGCCTCTACAACCGATGTGAACACTTGCCCGTGCCGAGGTAAGATATTGTTCCGTGAAATTGGGACGTTGGATAGAGGGACAGGGGCGTTGGTGTATATCGTGGGGTTGTGTCAAGGGTGGGCCCCACTTATTGAGCATGTCGTCAACCGCAGGGGGATTGCGTGACTGAAGATGAACAATATGTCTCTAGAGAAATTTCGGATACGTCGATGTTGGGATACTGTGGGATTGGATGACTATCACATGTGTTGCACCAAGTGAAGGATTGGTGTAAGCGTGTAGAATTTAAGACTACAATTTACGCGTGGTAGGACATGCTTTGTGAAGATAGACGAAGTTATTATAGCGAGCACTATAGTATACCCCAGGAATTCGAGATGAGGCATATCCTTGAGTAGTCGAGATGTGCAAATCAGTTTACTTTGTTTGTTGATGGTATAATTCCAAGTCCAACATACCTATATACCTACCGCAACAGCAACTCTTGTTCCTCCTTCGATATCCCTAATAGATACAGCACATTTAACATAGACTTTGAGTTCAATCTCGCCGGAGCCTGCATCTGCACCTTTGGTTTTGCGTGAAATGCGACTCCCAGGCCCGCTACACTCATCATCGGGAGATCATTAGCTCCGTCTCCTATCGCAATGATCTGCTCTAGCAATATGCCTTCTTTCTCTGCTATCTCGAGGACATGCTGTCTTTTCTTCTCCGCGTGCACAATTTCACCCGTCAACTCCCCTGTCAAAGTCTGTCCATCCTCAGAAACAACGAGATGGTTTGCGAAAGAGTAGTCCAGACCTAACTGCACGCCCATCCAGCCGGTCAGCGGCGTAAAACCACCGCTCAACACAGCCGTCTTGAAACCTAGTCTCTTCAAAGCCTTGATAAGTTCAGGGACCCCTTCGTTGTGCGTAATCCGTGGCTTCAGCGTTTCCCACACCGAACTCGGCACGCCCTTCAACAATGCACATCGCTTCCTCAAGCTCGCTTCGAAATCCAACTCCCCATTCATCGTAGCAGCCGTGATGGCACTGACCTGCGCCTCGACGCCTATCAGACTCGCAATCTCATCGATGACCTCTTGCTGTATGAGCGTAGAATCCATGTCAAATACGGCCAACCTCTTATGCCGCCTCCACACGTCATCTTTCTGAAACACAGCTTCGACATTCCACTCCCTCTCCCACCTGCTGACCGCCTCGTTATGCCTCAGCATCTCCAACGTCACGCCGCCCGCGCTCGGCAGCGGAAACGCTATCTCGACCACCCTGCAGAACTTGCCCTCTTCCAGCCTCCGCGTTGTGATTTTGTCTTCTAAGAGCCCTGGAACGATGTTGGTGAGCGTGACGAAGAAGTCCGTTAAGCAGCTCTGCGAGAGGTACGAGCCGTAGAGGTGGTCGAGCGGGTTGGGGCCCGGGGTCGGGGGCTCGAGGGGGTAATCGGACATGTTGGAGGTTGGAGAGACGCCATCTTTGAGCGCGTTGAGGGTAGCGGATGGCAGAGCGTCGGTGGGGCTGCGAGGTATTGAGTCGGCATGCGCGAAGTAGTGCGATGGTGTGTCGGACTTGTAGAAGAGGGTTGCGACGATGCGGGGTGGGTTGAGGTCGAGTGAGGTTGGCTTGGAGATTGGGGTCGCCATTGTGGCGTCTATGTACTGGGGCCCGGACGGCAGTAGATGAGGGACATTTGGCGTGGAGAATCGAGGTCACTGGCCATGTTTTCGTCGCTATGGAGGGGTTGGGATGGAAAAAGCGCAGGGATCAGAGCTTCGCCAAGGCGCTATATTTTGGCCGGTGATGGGGAAACTTCGCCAGAACCCTTGGAACGATGATGTTGCTGTATACATACTCTCTTCGCTGAATGCTAAAAGGGCTCCGACGCGATAGACAGTCCTCCGGCACATTGTCATGATGTTGTAGAAGATGAACATGGCCGAAGGAAGCTGGGCGCAAGCGACCTCGGCGGCCTCGGCTTCCGCTCAGAAGTCCACCATACGGTTAGGAGCTCAACCCTCGCTGACCTGCTCACTCTCTACGGAAGACATTCACTAGATAATTCGACCTCACCCACTCGCTCTACTGATTCCCCCATGGCCCCTCAGCACCTCTCTGCGGCCATTCGGCAATCGCCACCCGTCGATCTCTCGATCCCATACGATGCAGCCTGGGTCAAGGACAAGACGATCCTGATAACGGGAGGCGCGAGCGGTTTCGGCGCTGGTTTCGTGCGGCACTGGGCAAAGAATGGGGCGACGATTGTTATCGGAGACATTAGTGTTGAGAAAGGCCTTGGGCTCGTACGCGACGTGCAGAAGGAGACGGGGAACAAGAATGTTCACTTCGTGCACTGCGATGTCACGAAGTGGCAGTCACAAGTCAA